AGTGGTTTTGAGAATGTTATGTTGGTTTTAGATATCAAAACAAACTCAAGCTAGAGTGAGGATACCTTTCAAGAAACAGTAGTATCAAGCACACCTATAAAATTTATTTTACTTTTATAGGTCTTTCAGGATACACAAAAATTCCCAACTCTATTTAAAGTGCACAGGATCTCTGCCTGGGAACCTCAAATTATATTGTAACACATTTAAGCTTCCCAGTTTTATTGTGAGACAGTGAAGCCTTATTTCAGGCAGGCAAGAAAATACTGAGAGATTTGGACACACTTGCACAGCTGTGTTGAAATTGCATCTAAACCAGCAGATAAACATTCTGAGCTCCTCGTTCAGAGACACAGTTGTGCACCTTGGACATTTCCCAACAGCACGTAGAGGGAACCTGTCTCCTAGCACACAATCTGTGCCTCAGTTTCCATGGAAACCCAGCTTCCTCAGTTTTCTTAAGAAATCAAAGCAAGGAGGCTAGAATGAAGATATTATGCCTCTGGTTGAGATGTCTGAAGAAATCTAGGCAATAAGGTGCAAATGTGCATGTAATTCATCTTTATCTACACATAGCTCAGGAAGCCAAGGGTAGTGACTAGACCCTTCCCTTGGGCAACCTTAACATGAGTTAATTAAAAGCAGACACAAATGACCCCAAAGCAAAACAAATAAATCATAGGCAGGAATTTGGCAGTGAAAATATGGCTGTCTCTCATTCTCCAGTGAAATGCATTTTAGTGGAGCTTAAGTGTTTGCTTTACACTAATGGTTATGCTGTTGCCTTACAGTGTGGGCAGTAATGGAAGAAAAATGCACTAATAAATGCACTGTGAGTCTACAACATAGGGTTGAAGATACTATCCTGACATTGAATCTTTCCAGAAAGAGGTATTTTATTATGGAAAAGACTTGTAGGGTAATGTGCATAAATTGTACTTCTGGATAGAAGGATAATGAATACTAATTTCAAACTATTGCACAAAGAGGAAAACATTAAATGATCTTCGAATGCAGAAAGGGATCTTAGCTAAGCAAGAAATAGGATGTTTTAATCCTTTTCCCTAAAACTTCTCAACCTGGGCTTGAAAGACTGTTACTAGGTATCTGGTATTCTTAATTTTCTTTCTTAATTTTCTTCTACCTAAAAGGTACAAAATGCTTACTATCTTCAATTCAAATATCTGAGCAAAAGGAAGCGGTAAAACTACAGATTTTCCCACTGTAGAAGATTCAGGATGGTCCCTGAAATGTACTGATCAATGGGGAGAGGAAGACCAAGGGCTGCACAGCTACCAACTTCATACTGCACACAAGTGAAGCTGCTGTTTAAATTGGTCTGCAGCACTGGACCAAATATTACTTTTTATACATTGAATACATTATATAAACAAAATTACACTTCATTCCCCTCATGATGCAATGCAGAAACAGAAAACAAAACCCCAGAAGTATTTAAAATATACCTTTCTAATTTTAAAGTATGACAAAAAAAGAAAAAATTAGGATTTTTGCAAATCTCAAGATTACTACAGTATTTTACATTAGTAATAAAAAAAAGTGTTAGTAATCCATTTTTTATATTAATAACTTTAAAAGGGTTTAAATTTGTATAGTCAATGAGGAAATATTTGTAACTCCTCAAACTATGTTTTATAAATATATTACAATGTCAGGTGGTCTATTTAGTATTTCTAATGATACTCATCAAATGAATATCAGTGTCTTCCAAATTTTCCATTTGAATGAAAAGATTCTGATCCATTAGCATGATCTACATAGCTTCAGAAATCTATTGCACTCATGAATGAGGTAGGTCTGCTAAAACTGAAGCCAATTCCAGCAAAAATGAACAATTTGGGTGCCAGACAGCCCAATGGGCTAGGCATGCTATTTGCTGGTATCCCTGGAAAGGCTTTGTGAGTTTTGCCAGTAGTTATCGCAGGATACATTTTCAGTGAAGCCTCCACCCATCTGCCAGCACACACCTGAGGATGCAGTTGCAATGTTGCACAGCTCATCTGCACCCACCATTTATTGAAGTACACAAAGACAGAATATTAACTTCTCTGTAGTATCGTGAAACTGTAGAATTATAGAGTATCTTGAGTTTGAAGGGACCCATAGGAATCATCAAGCCCAACTCCTTGGTGCTTGCAGGACCATTTGCATATGGGAATTCATTATATTGAAATAGGAGTGTTCAGTGGGGTTAGGCCATACAAATACACAATAGTAAACAGCAGAAAGCTAAAAAAGAAATGTTCACTATTTCAACAACAGGCTGCACTGCAAGACAGTCTTTGACATCCTTCACTAGGGGGCTGTTGCCTGTCTCCCTCCTTACTACTCATACTCTTTCCCCACTGCATTTTGCTAGAAAATATTCCATTTCTTTTCATCCTTTTTCTTCTGTGCATTACATTTCCTAGTAAGAGTAATCTAGGAAAGCCCTGTAAGTTCAGAACAGAGCTTTCCCCTTTGTCATTCCTCAGCTAGGTATCTATTTCAACCACCAGTTTTAAGCTTCTGTCAAACAGAAACTCATACCCATTTACCTGGTAATTTTAGTCTCATTGATAATGATTTTTCTAGCCCATAGTTAGATGAAAACACAAGTAATTCAGAATGCGAGACATATTTCTATTTTAAAGGTGATCTTATAGCTCAAGGGAAGGCAACTTATTATTAGAAAAGTCATGACTAATATTTGTTTATTATAACCTTGCCCAAAGGTTGTTTGTGTCTCATGCCTAGAGGAGGCCATGACATCCCTGAGGTATGCTAGTCTCTGAACAATAACACTGTTGATGTAATTCACTGGCACCTTCCTCATGGCATCACTGGAGGATGCCTGATGATGCCCTTGCACCATACTCTTTTCAGGATTCAGGTCTTAATTAACACTTTGACTCATATTAGCCCCAATGGTAAAACCCTCTGTGCAGTCATTAGTAACAGTTCCATTCAACTCCACTTCTGATTTCAGAGAAAATGTGACCCATCAGACTTAGGAAGACTGAAACTTTAGGTAAATAATTCAGCCTCATTACATAAAGTTTATAAACTGACAGCATAAAGGTAGTCTATGTAAAAAGCAGAAAGAGAAATGTATATGGAAGGAGAAGAAATCATCTTAGTAGAAATCAATAGATCAGGTGCAGGAGATAATAAATGTCTCCTGTGCATAAAAAAATGTACAGGAAGGATTCAAATCAGAAGTCATTGAAAGTTCTGGCATACATCTGGGATAATTGCAAATAGAAAAGTCAGTATAAATATCTGAACTGCTAGGAGCTACTGGACTAAAGGACCATCCTTCTCCTAATTTAGTCTTCTTTTACATCAGGAAACTGAATCATACTGCCCTTTTCAAAACGTGACCATGTGCTTGCCTAAAGTGAGGTAGCACCTTTCTTCCACATTCACAGAAAAACTGTTCTGAAATATTTCTTAAAGTAAGCATGGACATAATGATTTAATTTTCTTAAAATTTTAAGATCAAACTACCACAGACCCATATAAAAACCCCTACACTAATCTTGTGTCTTGAGAAAATATAAGCTTTTGCTGTGATAACTTAAAAACATCAACCTTATATGGGTTGAAGAGAAAATGGTGGGAAAAATTGTGTATTCACAAAGGTCTCCAAATGACTTACAGTAATACTAAGTCCACAGAATGCCTCATAAACACATACCCTCTGAAGAAAAAGAGGAAAACAAGAAAAACATCAGACCTATTTTCAAGTAATTTGAACAAATTAGAGAAGCTTTGGTCCAGATAACACTGATGCACATTGTGTATTAGGTAAACAATGGGAACTGGAAGAATGAAATCCTGCTAAGAACCAAAGACAGGACAATGGGTTCCTCTTGTGGTACCTATGCACAGACAACAGACTGTGCAAACTTCATTGCCTACAAGAAGGAGAGTCCTCAGGGCAGCAGCAGCAGTTTTACTCACACTGATTCTTCAGCTGCATGGAACTGTGCTGATAAAAGGACTCTTTGGGTGGGACTTATCTCCCCCAGCTTTAAACACTTACAATATAGACATTTAGATTTGAGGCTTCTCCAGCTGAGAAAGAGAGAGGTTCTTCTCAGCTATAGTTCATCCCATTTTAAAGTCTTGCTCAGAAAATGTCAGGTCAGTCCTGACTGAGGAGTGCCTGTTTTATTCCATTGAACAAAAAAATGAGCTTAGGACAACCAGCTGAGTAGACATCTACAGTTGGTGAATTAATCTCTCTTTCTCCTCTTTTTCACTTTAAATGATACATTCAACCTCATTTGCAAGCCTATTTGAATACATAATTGCCCAAGGAAATCCAGACTGCTTTTCCATCCTTTAAACCTATTTCTAATAGTTCTACTCTGAATGAAGTATGTTTATTAATTCATCCAGACCCCTCCATGTGTTTAGTCAGTAGGAACCATACAAAGCAATTACCCAGGTCTGGTGTCTTACAGGATAGAAGAGAAAGGGACTGCTGGCAAAAGCACTTTAAAAAAACAGATACTTTTTTATTTAAAGCATAAATAATTGTGAAGTCCCAATGAAGCATGGCCTTCACACAGAATATGATTGAAATACAGGTTAAATTAGCAAATCAGAAAAAAAAATAAAGCCATGTTTCTTGTTTCTCCAAGCTCATTACTGACTATAAAGTACAGTGATCTTCAAGTCATAAACATTCATGTGCGTCACCTAGAGGAATATTTTCCAATCTATTTATAACTTAATTTCTTACTTGGCCATGGTTCCTATCTGTCGGTCAATATTAGAAACATCTGCCCTATGCCAACAAACGAGTTCATTTTTACCATGAAGTCAGGAGCCATCTTTCTACATGTCATGTCTTATTCACATCACACTGACACTGCCTCTAAGTGTATAGGTAGTAAAAATAACCATGAAAGCATAGTAAATAATAAGTTTCAGTAGTAAATAAAGATCTTGTAAAATACTAATAGAAAACTTGAACCATTGGTACTCACCACCAAGGCTTTAGACCTGTTACTTAGAAGTTTTTCAATGTCTCTGGCTGCAATTTCCACTAGCTGACGAGGGTTGTTTGCTTCTACAGTATACATTGCTGCATTTTTCAAATAAATCTGCAAAATAAAAATATGGAAATAAATCAAAATGACAGTACACATTCAAAATAAGCCAAGTGACTTGACAGAAGAGGCATCAAGATGTCATCTGTTCTTACTGGAGCTTCATAATGACTACTGCTAGGAAAATCCAATTGGGCCCTGTGAAAGAAGTACTTCACCTTTTTGTCTGAGAGGTAGAAGCTGACACTAAAAATCATTTAATAAATCTTCAAAATTGACCAGTTTTAGTGACAAACTAACCAACTGCAGAATGCTCCAGGAATCTGATTCCCATGGCATGCTAAGAGAGCAGTAAAATGGTGATCCTTTAAAATTACTGAATTTCAAATAAAATAGCTATTGCTGAATTGAATTCTTCCTTGAAATATGAAATACAAATATACCAATTGAATTAATTCATTTAAGTTATACTAATTTAATCAGTTTAGTCCCTTTTCTATTTATTCATATGATAGTATTAGTATTCATAAGGAAAGAGAAGGAGGAACAAGTAAGAGGAAAAGAGGGAAAAGCAGAAATACATGAGGGGAGATGGGGAAAAAAGATGAGGGGAAGAGGAAAAATACAAATGTGTTTCTTCTCTGTCATGAATAAGGAGCCATTAACTGTTTTCAAAGCAGAACATGTATATGAAGGAGATAATTTTATCTGTTAATCAAAGACACTACAGTGAAAAGCATGTAACCATAAGAAGGAAGGAAGAAAAAAGAAAAAAAAGTGCATTTGCCTATCTCTGTCCAACTAGAACTGAATAAAGAAAAAAATACTATATTTGGAGTGGAAATAAAGGAAAAAAAAAAAAAGTAGATACCTTTTATCTTGATGGGCAAACGGGGAAAACTAATTTATGCAGCCAACAGATGGCCTGAGTTTACTCAAGTACTTTGCCTCTGCAGCACTGCCTGGTGGGGGCTGTGCTGTCTCCCGGGGAGTCATTCCAGGCTCAGGCAGGAACGGGTCCAGGACTAATGCACTGGCTGCCATCCAGCACGAGAGCCAAAAAACTGCCGAGCAGACTGAGCCTGCCAGCCCCGCCAGCTCTCTGGGGTTAAGGCTTTGGAGACCTTAAGGAAACTCACCACATTACACCTCTGGCGCTTGTAGCTGATAAGTACCACAAAAACTTTTCTAAAAACTACAGTTATAGATGCAAATTGTTATCAGGCATGTCCCATAAGCTGCCACAGCTTTTCAGCACTTACGAATTTTACTAAATTTATGTTGGGTCTTGGTTTGTTGTTTATTTTCCTTCTGCAGTCGTTCCTTTCCACCAGTAACTGAGCAATTGGAATAAGCTTTATTCCTCTTATAGTAATATTATTTTTAAAAACTCCGTGCACCATGAGCAGGAAATGACTACAACAAATGACAGATCCTAATCAACTCAGATTGTAGTCTGGATACTTTTGAGGTGCTTGATTTTCAAAACAGCCACACAAAAAATTTATCTCTGGATAAACCCAAAAATCTCTTTTTGAGGGGTTTCTGGGTTTTTTGAGTTAGTTTTATTTTTGGGATTGGGAGTGCGTTGGTGGGAGGATTTTTTAGGACATATCTTAATAGTAGAACTGGCCTATAAGCCAACAAACAAATTTGGAAATAAAGACATTTTATTCTACAATTGATCACTTCAGAATTTTATTCCTTTTTCTCTGAAACAAATTAAATTTCCAGTCAGCAAATTATTTGGAGGTAAATTGACTGTCGTGACCAGTCCTACAGACAAGGCAAGAGTAAAAATCAGTTTTATGGATCTAGACGGCTTGAATCAAGACTGGAAATTTCAGAGGAACATCTAAATTGGAATGACCATCAAATCTTTAAAACTTTCAGGTTTTCACATTGTCAACAACCATTCACCCTGGTCACAGAAGGAGCAGACACTGCAATATACCAGGTGTTGATGTCTTGGTCTTTGAAGAGAAATGTAATGGCAAATTCTTTAAACTTCATTTGTGACTGCATGCAGTACACCTCAATCAAAAGTTACTAAATTTACAGAAGAATGGAAGCAAGATTTTGTAAATGGTGTAAAAAATACAAAACAACTTTCACAGAAGTTTTAAAATAATAAATTTAAAAATAATTTTAAATGGTTCATATATTTCACTTGTGAAAATGTTTGATTGTTTGGTTTCCTTTGTTCAATTATTTCTCGTCTCTTTTTTTTTCCACATTTTTTTTCCACAATTTCTCTTTATTTCCTACTCAATATTGAAAACAATAAGAAAAAAGTAGTATGAACCCTTTTCATTTGGGGTTTCAATTAAGCAAAAAATCTAAAATTTGGAGAAAGAATTGCAAAAATGCCATTTCACAGTAATTAATCTTTTCACTCAACGTGATAAACACCAAGTGAGCCACAAGAAAAGAGAATTCACATAGAGACAGAGTGAAATATGCCTTCAATTAATGCAGGTTTGAAGCAGATGGATGACAGGGATGATCTGGAGATTGCACTGACCAGATATATAAGGACAAGTGCTGTAGTGATGATTCTCTGATACTTTTAAGCCCTTAGTGAAATTTAGTTTCTAACAGGCTGTGATTGAACAGCCTCAGTAGAAATTAAGGGGGATATTATAACTGCATTCACAGAACCACCAACCAGAAAGACAATATCTTATTTGACTTAATCACACAATCACAGAATGACCTGAGTCGGAAGGGACCATAATGATCATCTGGGACCAACCTCAAGCCATGGGACCTTTCACTAGACCAGATTGCTCAGAGCCCTATCCAAGCTTTTCTTGAACACCCTTTGCAAGTGTCTCACCACATTTAGAGTAAAAAAATTTCTTCTTATCACCCGATCTAAACCTACTGATTTTCAGTTTAAAGCCATTCCCCCTCACCCTGTCACTACTTGCCCTTGTAAAAAGTCTCTTTCCAACTCTCTTGTAGCCATTTTTTGGTGCAGGAAGGCCACCATAAAGTCTCCCCAAAGTCCTCCAGGATGAACAACCTTAACTGTCTCAGTCCTTTCTCACAGGAGAAATGTTCCATCTCTCTAATTATCTTTGTGTCCTGCTGGACTGGCTCCAGCAGGTCTGTGTCCTTCTTGTGCTGTGCTCAATGTAGAGCAAAGTTAGAGTAAGCCATACTAGTAATGCATTGAGAACCTGGATGGAAAATTTGCACTTTTATCCCTGTATCTAATTTATTCTTCCAGCAAATGTTTGACCCTATAAACCCCAATTTGAAAGCACTCACATTTTTCACACACCCAATTCCTATAGGGAAGTTATTCCCATATCCTCAAGTTTGAATGGTTTGAAAACTGCAGACTATCAAAGCATTAGACAGGGGGACATTTTCAGGAAAAAAATAAACATTTTCATCTTTCTTCTCCAGCACCAGCTATGAGAAAAATTCAAAAGTCTGAATCACATAACAAGGAGATCATCACAACAAGAGATGGGAGCATCATTAAAACTTTATAACAGGCATTGTAGGTCCTACCACCAAGAAAGCCTGACTGAGGCTGGCTTCACAACTTGTATTTGTCAGTGATTCTAAAAAAAGTAAAATTCAGAACAACTCTCGCCCAAAATAAAACCCTTTGAGATTTATACAACACACAGAGTCAGTGGACAAGATTCCACACAGATTCAGTCCTGAGTCAGAGACTTTCTTTCTCGCCTTCTTTGTTTACCTGCCATGGCAGGGCTGGGAGCACCAATCTATCCTGCTTCTACTGGCAGTGAAAGATTTATCCTGCAAACTCCTGAACAAACAGCATCAGAAATTACTTGGAACTTCACACACTTCTTTATTTTCCTGAAGTGTGAGACCTGTCTCAACTACCAAGGAGCAGTCTAATATTCATTAATTATTTAGGAGGTGTGTACATAATTTATTTGTTGCCTACTACCCTTTTCTTTAATTCACTGTAGCACTGCGGCAGTTCAGCACAACACTACACAGGAAAATACACACTTCAGGATACACACTTCAGGATTTGGCACCCTGGGACAAACTTTTCCTTCTCCAAGCGTCCCTCCTAGCAGTCTAACAGAATTAACAAATGCTTATCTCAAATGGCCATAAAGGCTATGTGGCTTTTATATAGATTTATGGCTATAAAGAATGTTATTGGCAAAGGTGTGCTCATTCGTCTTACAAAATACAATTTGGCAAGCTCCGTAGCTTGTTATAAGAAGTTAATTTGAATACAATTTATTAAATTGCTTTAACTAAATGAATGCAAGTTTCTATTGTTTTTTACATCTAAATTATTTTTTAGTACTTTAATCACTAATATTTTGCTAAAAGATCTCCAAATTGCCAGTAAAACCCTGTCACTTCTCACAGAATAAAGCCTCATTGCATGACTAAGCAAAACCTGTAAGGTCATAGCACAAAAATACTTTAATTCTTTTCTAAAGTCAATAGTCATGCACTTCTTTATTTAGGAAAGACTATATTAAAATTGCACATAATGATCTACAAGGTTTTAGGGGGGAGAACATGATGGAGAGAGTCACATTAAGGTGAAACAACACAACAATAGTTGAATGTGACAAAGATTAGAAAAACTGCCAGCTCCTCAGCAGAACGTGCCCCTCTCTGTTCAGCCTTCAAGGACATGTTTATAAATCTCTCACAAAGAGATGTTCTCCTTGCTTCCTACAAAGCTCGCCAGGGCAAGTCAAACACTTCTGCATAAATTGAGAGAGAACGAAAGACATTATTACATAGCTCTTGCTGTATTGTGGCAGGCATTTGGGCTGGCCCTAGCATTGACAATATATTTAAATGGCCCTCACGCTGTATCACACTCAGAAAAAGAATTATTTTTAACTGCAGTATAACTCCTTTGACTCTTTGTTTGTTTGCTTTGAACATGTGAGTCACCCAGTTTAGAAACAACAGAGCCTCTCCTTCAGGCAGTGGTAACTTGGCTGAGGGCCCAAACATAGGACATGAACATGCCAATCTCATTTCCATCACTGAATGCTTCCATGGACACAGAAATCAGAACAGTCAAT